CTCCTAATTTGTCTTCTCCATGGGAAGGCCCGTATGACATAGTGGATCGTCTCTCATACGTGACTTTTCAAATAAATGTAGTTGGCAAGGTAAGCCAAAGGTAGTGCATGCCAACAGGCTTTGGCATTATCACAGTCCAGGTCGTTTCAGTTAGAACGAAGTGAACAACAGAACATATGATGCTGCTGAAGACGTGTCACCTGAAAAAGCCACTGTTGAATAAGAAACTGTACCCAGTTTTGAGAAGGAAGACAGTGAAGCTCTTAATGAAGTTACTACCACTGATGTGACTGTTACCAATAATGGGATATTTCCTGATGGAGCAGATGAACCCCACGTGAAGCAGAAGCCAATGAGACAGAGACCAGTACGAAAAAAGATACGTCCCGTAAAATTAAGAGACTTTGTTGAATTTTAATTTTGTGTTTGTAAATTCTGTCCATTTAATTAAGTTATTGTTAACTATTTATTGGTTTAATGTAAGTGGCTATTGTTTGGGATGAACAATTCTAAAGAAGGGGCAGTGTTACAACAGCGGAAGTCATGTGACACTGGGAGCATGTGCGCTGGAGTTTCTGGAGGGATCATGAATTATCGGGTAGGCCCAAGTTTGTTCGAGGTGCCCTCTTTTTTTTGTATATAAGCCTGGCAAGAAAAACCAGCATGATTGCATAGGCAGATAGATTGAAGATAGAGATAATTGAGTCAAGCGAACAGTAGGCTCCGTAATTAAAGTGTGTGAATCACTGTGATCTATAGCGTGTGTTATAAAGGTTGTTAAGTTTAAAGTGACTGTGGAAATTCTGTGTATTACAAAGTTGTATCGAGAAAGAATAAACTAGTTTTAATTAAGAAGGGACTTGTATTGCTGAAGTTCCTCAGAAATAATTTATACTGGAAATTATCAAACAGGCAGACACATAACAATACTATTTACATAAGAAATTAACACATTCTGATTACTATTCTTAGAAAATATATATAGATTGTACACACACACACGTGTGTATGTGTGTGCTCATATATACATGCATGTTTTACTTAATATTAACCCCTTTCAGCCTGGTATATTGTATCAACAATAAGTTTTAGAAACTTTGTCTGATCTTCACTCCCAAATCAGGTTATAATTTTTTTTGCTATAAATCTTAACATTTGTTTTGAATAAAGTAGTAAAAAATCCAAACTGTTAACCCTATAGTGATTTTTAATTTTAATGGAGAAACAGAAACACTTGTTCAGATAAAGCATGTTAACAAACAAAGCTGCAAATATGCAGTCTTTGTGCATGTTTCCTGCTTATGTCTTGCTCAAATAGTTTAGAAAATAAAACTGCACTGTTTGTTTTACAGTTGTGAACATTAATTATTTTTGTTTCTTTCAATCTGTTTTCTGTAGAGCTCCCTTCCTTTCATCTGTAGATTGTAACTTTCTAAACTTTTAAATATTGCATCAGAAACCTTTCTCGATCCCTTGTCTTGAAATAATCTAACTATTTCATGGTTTTATTTCATCATGTTAAAGCAGTGACATAGCCAGATACAAAATTTTGGGTGGTTCTGTATCTATGATGGACAGGCAGAAGGCATACAAATCGTGAAGGCAAGTTACAGGTTGCTAAAAAGAAAGAGCTTTATATTACATATTCAGATGTGAGAACTGTCAAGCAAACTCTGATTGGATTAGCCTTGATGCTGAGTGGGCGAGCCATGGCATACCCAGGCTCATTCATGGCTATGCCACTGTGTTAAAGTAATAAATTTATTCTGTTAGTTCCTTTACTTGTTTTTTTTTTATTATGTTGTTGAAGTAATTAGCTTGGCAAAAACTTTTGCTTTACAAAAAATCCCATTTGTAACTTGAAACTATGTAGTTATATACTAGCTTCACTGTGTCATGAGATAAGAGAATCATCTTGTTTAAACTTATAAAAGATGTACAGAGGTAACTTTTATTAGTAATATATAGTAAGATAAATATCTATTTATATTACTTTTGACAATATGGAAAGATATCTTACTGCAGAATTCCTTCAACAAATTGGTCAGTGCTAATAAGGGTGTGCTATAGGCATGTTGAGTATTAACTTAGTATATAAATCATAGTGTGTGCATATGTATACATATAACAAAGCAGATTTTATATTTGATGTTGTAAATTTACTTCTAGACATATCAGAGAGAGAGGTTATTTTGCATAAATTCTAAGCTGACTTGTGATTCTAAATGAAGTTAATTAAGCTTTATCCTATGTTAGATGCCAAGAAATACATGGGGGAATGTAAGTATTTATGTTTAAGCATAAATTTACATAAATATCGGTCTTGCTGCCCATTTCAAAGCCTATGTTTATATTTGCTAAGAAAGTTGTTTCTCACTTGATTTTCCCTTTCCTTTTTCTAATTCTGTTATTACTGCCTTTCATCATAACCTTTTATGGCTTTACATCTTGTGATTGGAACAACTACTACTAAAGAACAGTTTTGTAATAGGCAAAGTTTAAACACCATTGGATATAGCAGATTATAAACTGTTTTTGGCAGTAGAGAGTGAATAAAGTGATGTGAGCAGTAATGTTTTTGTGTGAAAATGATTAGATGTAGCTTCTGCAGGGAATAACAGTGGAGTTTTTTGGGAAGCTTAGAATACTTACAAATGAACCACAGAATCAGGGTATTTTTGTATAGTTTTTTAGACATTGTTTTTGTTTCTCAAAATGTTTTTTGTGCTAAATTATATTTGTTTGAAAGCTACAGAAATTGTATTGCATCAGCTAAGCCTAGTTAGGTTTAAAGAGTATGCTGGAAAATGTTCTGACTCAAATTCTTGTTTATTAAACAGTATTGTTAAGTTTATTGTAATGAAACAATGTTGATAAGTAAAGAACTTATTGTTTATTGAAAAGAAGCTATCTTTATTAGAAATAAATTGATCTTGACAAAGAATATTGTGAGTGAAAATATTGTTACCTAACCTGATCTGACTCCATTATGATGGGTCAAGTCATAGGGCACTGAATAATTTTATCATTTTTTGCTGTGTTTTCTACAGATTTTAGCTGGAAGTGCTGACTACTGCAATTGGCAAAATAAAATATCAAAAGATATATATTAATTAATATCAATGAAGTTGAAACTGACTGGATATATGAAATGGAACTCTCTTATCAACAATAATAAAAAAAAAGATAAAAGAAGGTATTTTTGTTGTCTTTTTTTTTTTTGAAAGAGTATCTTATAACAAAATTTTGTAAACTTTATAGTACAAAAAAAATCATAGAAAAAGTAAATGAAATTATATGATTTTGTTTAAGCAGAAACTAGAAACTCCACATTAATCTAAAATAGATCCACTTTTATGGAACAACACATTTTGACACTTTCAATGTCAGAATTTCTTTTCCATAAAAACTTGCTGTAATTGTGGATCTAAACTTGATTTTAGATTACTTTAGACAGTATTATGTATTTATCTACCATTACATAGTGAGTTTTTACTAAGTTTCTTGTAGTTTGGTTAAGTATTTCCACTGTGATAAGGAAAAAATAAGGAGTTTCAATAACTCCCACCCGGTTCAGAAAGGGTTAAAGCATACTTCAAGAAATAAATAATGTGCTTAGTAAAAAATCTTTTGCAAAAGAACTTGTTAAAAATTTGAATATAGAAAGCACTTTTAATGTAGTTATTTGGTGTTGAATTTAATAATTTAATATATATATATATATAGACACACACACAAATTTTATCACTTTTGTATTTAAAAGTACAAAGTGAACATGATTTGTTCAGACTAGAAACCTGTTTTGCAAGTCTGATGGCCATGATAGAAGATTATGCTTGAAACTGAAATGCAGATCTTATTAGCAGCACTTATATTTATGTTGATATTCATTTTTTTTAGTAAACTAATTCATAGTTTTGTTAATAAATTCTTGAATTTATTTGATGTGTGAAATAATTGATAACTTGTAATTAAATTACTTTGTAGGTTTTATCAATGTAAGTTTGTAGTTACAACAACCAACTTTGTATTAGTAAAAGCAATATTTTTACTGCATTTATGAATACTGATTTTTGATATAATTCAGTTATTATTTTTGGATTACAAAGTGTCATAAGAATGTTATTTTGCTGCTAATGTATACAAACATGGCTCAAGCAAGAGCATTTAGAGTTGGGTTCTCTAGCTAGAAGTATGTACATATTTTGACTTGCTGGTTTAACCATTGTTTTGTATGTGCACAAAGCCTTTTCAAGTGAATTTGTTTGCCCAATACTTTGATACATCAAGCTGTCTTTGCCAAAAGATGGAAAATACAGTTCACTTAGTATTTAGAAATAATCTAAATAATTATGTTAAAAAACAAAAGTGAAAACTAGGATTAAAAACAGTATCACTTTTTAGTGTGATTTTTCTTAGTTGTGAAGAGTGTTTAATTTTATTTGGTTCTCTAATTTGCAGATTTAAGTGACCCCAAAACCCAACAGAACATGACTGAAGGTAATTCAAGTTTTCTTTTATCAGTTATCCTTGTTTTATTACTGATATTGACCTTACTTGGCAACAAGTTTATGTTGTTTTATATGTTTAGCCAAAAAACTTGTACTATCAAGCAGCATTGTCATGAAAACAACAAAAAACAAACTATTTTTTAACTCCACACACCATTTTGTACTGTAATACTTGTATTTTTTATATATGACAGTTTTGGAATATTGCATAATGTTTTCAGTGGTAAATTGGTGAATGAGCAATTCTTGCTTTACAGTTAATATTCTCTTATTTCAAGCTATTTTATATCTCTAAAAAAGAACAAAAAATAATAATTCATGGTGACTAAATTTAGAAGTTAATTTTAAACGTTAATCTTATTGAACAAATTATTTCTATCATTTCATTATAGAAGTTAGTATTTGAAGTGCAACTTTTAAAAAATAAAATAGTTTTTTGGTAACTTTGTTTAAATGTTAGTAAAAGAATAGTTTGGTGAATGTATTTTTTTATAGATAATTTTTTTATAAGCATCAGTAAATGGGGCCAGGCATTGCTCTGTGGTTAGTGTACCTAGACTTTAAATCTGAGGATTCATGGGTTTTGCCTTCTTGCCACAAAATTGTGCTTTACACTTTGGGGTTGTGAGTGTGAAATAAGAGTAATGGTCAAATCCCACTATATGATTGGATAAGAGTTTGCAGTGGTTGTCTAGCTGCCTTCCATCTAGTCTATCAGTTCACAGCTTTTTGTTCCTTTGCATAAAAATTGTGAAGCAAATATTTCTAAGTGATGATGTCACTAGAAAAATGCAGATTTTGTTAATTTTTGAAGTTAATAATATTACTAATTTTAAGAAAAAATTTTCTATATATTATTCCATGGAGAAAAAATAATTGAATTTATTTAATAATTTTACTGATCAATGTTTTATTTCATTCTTTAGAGAACATCAAACTTGTTTCAAGTGAGCTTCCATGACTTTTACAGAATGAGGCAATTACTAACCTTCATGGTTTTAATGTTTCAGAGATCAGTGAATTGTACAATCAGTACATTGTCAAATTGCTTAACTGGCGTGATCTGAATGAGGCCATGGCTCTGTATGAATATTTTCGCCATCTTGGAGCATGGTTGGATCTGGATCGCCCAATCTTACGAGCCTTGGTGGTCACATGTATGCAGTTAGAAAGGACCAAGGAAGCCCATGAACTCTTCAAACATTGCTGTCTGATGGGTGTCTATACAATGCAAAAAGTAATTGACTATTATTCACTTTCACTTGTAGAAGACTTGAATTAGATAAGTGGTCCGAGAAGGCATGCTAAACTAAAAGATACTTCTAACATTAGAGATCCCAGATGTCAAGATCCTTTTTTGTTTGATTAATAGAATTTATTACTGTGTTTTTTTTTAAGATAAGTTTCAAAATGCTGTTTGCTGATATTTTAACATAACAATGAATTGAATGCATCAGGATCAAATACCATGACAAAAGCAAAACAAATAGGATGATAAAAAATAGTTGTTATGCATGTATTTTGTACATTGATTATTTACTTTTTGCATACCATATGACATGAATTGGTTACACTTAGGCTGAGTCAAATTTCTCTTCTCTATTTTGCTGACCAGTTAGTTTTCCAGGAAGTACAACATTGGTAAACATCCATTTCTTAACTGTGAATCTAAATTTAGTTCTGTATATTTCTTTCAATTTGTTTAGGTTATGCTTTTCATTTAAAAAACAGAGAAAAAGTGTTTCTGTGATGTTTTTCTAGTTTTAGAAGCTGCATTAATATTTTTACTTCACATCCACCAGCCAAAGCCATTTTCTTTTCCACACCGTATCAAGATTCAAAGTTGTCTAATGGAGGAAGAAATCCATTTAATCTTAAAAGGTTATATTGAACAAATCTACAATTTGATTCGAGTATCTCAAATCCCAGGACAGAAGTCACCTGAATTTGAAAAGTCATTTTCTCTGCATATTTATTTAGAGGTAAAATTTGGATTTTATTTTTAAATTTGAAAACACTAAATCCATTTCATAACTATTATAGTTTTCAAAACCCATTAACCAGTAAAAGTCTTTTTTTACATCATATTTATGTCATGACGTAGAACTGATTCTGATATGAGGCTTTTTTTAAGCTTTCTAACATGCAAACATGTTTGTGTTATACACATCTAAAAACATTGGATAATTTTCAAACGTTGAAACCTGGAATTGGTTTTAAAAGTTTTAATATGTTGGGGTACATCAAGGTTCATTGGACAGATTATCGTTTGCATTTGTTTCTGTTATTCTCATACCTGTACATCTGATGGCTCAGTTAAGTTTAATTTCTAAAAAAACTGTAGAGATTCCCTACCATGGATTTTTACCCTCTCACTATGGGCTTTGTGAATTACACCGACCTTGTGGCCTCAAAGTGACCATCATAGTTTCTATACCATTACCTTAATATGTTTTGTGTATCTTCATGGAATTTGGCAAGCTTTCAGTAAACATTACAAGTCTTTAGTACATAAAAAATCACTTTTTAATTATAAATTTTTACTAAACATTTTTCCATGAATATATGTAGTTAGAGTATTGATTGCATTGTGTGCAAAGTGATTTTCATGTTAAGATCAAAAATACTTTTTTTACATGAAAATTGTCAAATTTTATGTGTAATCTATAAAATCTTCTAAATAAATATCAACTGTTTTTTCAGTAAAACTTTACATTTTATCTGTAATTTTTTCTACCCTAACTCTATATTGCATTCAATCAATTTGATTGACTTTATAACCATCATAACAAAATACAAAATAAATCTAAGTTACCTTTTTTCTTTCTAAAATCACTGCAAGTTGTAACAAGAAACTACAATCATTTATCCTAAATAGCTTAAAGCTTGTAACAGTATAAATCTGTTTATACTTAAATTTTATTATTTTATCATGCTTTAACCAATGTTTAACTAATAATCCCACCATACAAGTTTTAAATCACTCAGCAAATGTGTAGCTCAAATTAGAGTATTGAATTCCAAAACATACTTACCATCCATTGACACTTATGGCTATTACTCAACTGCCTGGATTTCCATCTTTGCCCATCTAAGCATTGGTCTGATTTTTTCTCACTTGCTCCAGTCTTTTATACCCCACTCAATTGACATTGGCGATATACTCTCCACCTATGTCAATGCAGTCTCTATTCTGGTACTGTATATAAGCACTTCATTCAGATAATTTTATCAGTTTTTCTCGACAGAGCATTTCAACAAGGGTTTCTCTACACAAATGCTGTGATAATTAATGTACTTGGTTGCGATTTTCACATTGCCTAGTGGCTTTCTATATAAATTATATTTAATAATTATTATCAAAAAAATATTGAGGCATGAATTCACAGGTTACTGTTTCCAGCATTCCACCTCTGTTATCTAACATTTCTCAAAGGTCAGGGGGAGGGGAGAATGGCACTCTCAGTTGAGGCTGTCCATGATCTTATTCATTGAGATGGAGACATATATTCGGTCTGGGGTCATCTCTCTCTAGGGGATTCTGAGTCTGCTTTTGTTGTTGATCCAGGGCAGTCTGGAGAGAATTTGGACTCTCTTTTTCCAGCTCCTTTGTTTACTGGGTCGTCTTCTCATGAGTCCAATTTGGATTAGCCACCTCCTGCTCCATTTCTTCAATAAGTCAATCACATTTGTGAAGTTTAAGGGCTTTCTGTGGTTGTCTCTGAATCTACTCCTTCTTTGATGATTGAAAGGTCTGAGGGTGACAACTTAGTTTTCCTACTTCACCTGATTTTGCTGTCATGCTGGGAGATTTACTGCTCTATTATATGCCCCCCTCATTTGTCTGAATAGCATGCTTTGGCTTACCACTGCCAGGTGGACATACATTTCGATTCCACAGACTAGATCCTCCTTTGGATATGTAAAGTTCCAGACTAGACCCTGTGACCACTTTGAACAGATCACAATTTTTCAGATTTGTTTGACCTTCACTCCTGTTCTTAAATCCCCCCCCCCAAAAAAAATTGTCTGGAACCTATCAGTGGTCCACACATCAATTTGAGGATGACTTGGGTCTTTTGCTGACTTCTACCTTGGTAAGATTGTCAACTTCTGCTCTTTGTTTGGCTACCTGGCATATATGTTGTTAGGATTTATTGGGTAGAGATGCCTTGTTGGAGGGAGTTCATCTATGTGAGGTTTCTTTTCTTTGTTCCTTGATGTTCAGGGGTCCCAGAAATGTTGGAATCGTGAATTGATGTCACCTGTTTCCTTTTTTCCTTGTTGTTGGCCTCTAGATTTTCTTTGGCTCCTGCCAGAAGTCATGGTGTGACTGCTCGTCTTATGTCCTGAACCTCGGCTTCTGTTCCTCACTCTTTGGATACTCAGAGTAGATTCTGTCTTAGTTTGAAAGCTCCTCTGCTCAGGCAGACCATTGCCAACAGTGTCAGTGACTACACTACGTGGGTGGGGTCTGTGGGAATGAGGTTACAACAATTGAAGGACACCTGGAATTCCTTTACCACAGATCCATGGGTACTTCAGGTTCTGGTATTGAGGTTGGTCATTCCATTAACTTCTCCACCTTCATTATCCTCCCAACCTATGATATGGTATTTCCACCCTTAACAGATCCGTGGAGTGTGGATCCTCTGTCCAAGGCCATCAGAGAGTTCTTGGTCCAGGGGGTGTGCCCAAGAAGACAGGAGATTGGCAGCCAATCATTGATCTTTCTCATCTCAACCAATTCTTAGATCCTCTCAGGTTCACAATGGAGTCTTTTTCTCAACGTACATTGGCATTCTTCACCAAGTCTGTGGATGACCAAGTTCCATGTTGCTGATGCTTATCTCCACATTCTGATAACAAAGTCATCCTTCCACTATCTACATTTTGTGCACAGGGGTTAGGTTCTGCAGTTCAAGGAATCTACCCTTTGGCCTAGCATCTGCACCATATGTCTTTTGCAGAGTCATACGAATTTCCCTTGTCACCTTCATACTTTGGGCCTATGTACACTCCATTATCTGGATGACTGGTTTCTTCTGGCATCATCTCATCAGTTGGCAGAACAATGCACACAGCTTCTCCTTTCAGAAGCCACCAAGGCTGTCTTTCTTATCAGAGCCGAGAAATCCATTCTCTTGCTGACTTGCTATATTGTCCATCTGGGTGTCTTTTTCAACATATTTTAAGCTGGGCTCAGCCATTTCTATCTGGTTCTAGGGTGTGGAATGGGCAATCATGCTCTTACTTTCATGAATGGTTCTATATCTTTTAGGGATGTGGGCATCCCTCTAATCTCTTATTCCTTCATGACGCAGTCCCTTTAGTGGTCACTATGCGACCAGTGGATCAGGAATTCCAATCCACTGGATTATCCAGTCTCCTTCATCAGAAGCAACATCCTAATTCTCAAGAGATGGGTGGATCGGATGAACACTACCTTTGCCTGTTGGACAGCAAGAAGTTCTAAGTTACTGAGGTCGAAGGAAGAATCGTCTTCCATCCATAGACCCTATGTGCACCCCATCCCTGAAGTGTGGCATCAGTGAAGAGATGAAACTTGGGATGAGGGGGCAATATAGGAATACTGCTGATAGTGTTGATCTTATCCAACTATCACTCTAGATGTATTGCAGGGGAAAATTCTCATGACTTATTCCATCAATTCCACAATGTTCTCTTGCATTTCCTGTCCTGGGGGTATGCATTCTCAGGGCCTTTGTTTTTGAACTCTGGATATTCTCTACTGGGCTTAATACCATCATATCAGCCTCCTGGCTTGCCATGTTCCAGGGGTGATTAATGTGATAGCAAATCACCTGTCTTGGCCCAATTGAATTCTCCCAACTAAATGGATGCTCTTTTCAATAATTCCAGGGGCAAGTGGAATGCTTCTTGCCCACTTGGTTGGGGAATGAGATGAATGTTCATAATTCCAGACCGGATGAGTTCTGTTCCTTTGGTTGAGTAAGGCATACACGATCCCACCATTCCAAGCCTGGGGTGTTGTCTTTCGACTTCTTCAGGTGGAGGAGAAAGTTTGTCAGCTTTGGTGTTTCTTACTTTCTTGTCATAAATCCGATGATTCAGAATGCATCGCTCTATGGCTACAAGTTGGGATCCAATCAAAAGTATATCTACACATAACGTTGCAGTCCAATTGCCCTACCCACAAATGTGGAATATAGGGACCAAGACCCCTTAATTCCAACCTCGAGTTGTGAAACCTCGGCTATGTGGTTTTATTTAACCTAACAAGTTTCGAAATTTTACATTTTAGTTACTTTTGTGATAATAGATAAAGGATATACATTAAAAATCTTGTTTTTTTGCTGTCAACTGTCAATGAAAGTTAAGCCAGCTAATGGTACTAGTACACTAATTAAATTTTATTGAATTAAATAATGCACCTTTGAACAGAATAATAACCACGCAAAGCAAACAATATCTTATAATTATTTTACTTTATCTGGCTTTTTAATAATGTGATAAGCCTTTAAAAATTTAGCTAAATTTGTTGATGTGAATAGTGTGACAGAAATTTTCAAATTGGAGGTGAAATAGACAATACTCTTTACTGAAAACAATGTAATATAATACATGATTTGATAGATTAAAACATTAATTTCTATTAGTTATAAAAAATAAAGTCTAAATTATCAGAGAGAATTTGGCAATTTGTGAAAGAGAAGACGCGGCAGGTGGGCATGGCAAGTGGGTCTGATTTTCTAGTTTATGGCTCTATAAACAAATAAGACTGAAAGCTATAAAATATATATATTATAATGAGTAACTTACGTTAGATTCCACACTTCTCAGAGGAGTGGTAAATAATTTACACAAGAATGAAGACCTAAAGAACAAATCTTACAATTTTCATACTGTGAGAAATTCAGGATTTTTTAGATATTTTCTTATAAACTTAAAAACTTTAAAACTTGTATTATGTCAGGTTTTGTGTTTGTGGATTCTTATA